TTACTGCTACTACTATTATTGTTACTGTTATTATTATTATTATTATTCCCGCTATCGCCGCCGCCGGATCCGCACCTCCCTCCGGGCTCACTTCGCTCCCGCCAAATGACTCCCTCCGCGTCCGAAGCCTCCCGCCCCGCCCACCGGTCCCGTACTTTAAACCCTTCCCCCGCACCACTTCCGGCCGCGCCGGGCCTGGGGAACGGAGGCCGTTATCAGGGGCCGCCCGCTCCTTGCGATCCCCCCACCCCGACCCCCATTAACATCCTGGGCTAACTGAGCCGGCGGCTCACTGCGGACAGCGATTGGCTGAGGGAGAAGAAGAAGAAGAAGAAGAAAGCGGCGGGGAGTTGGATGGGGAGTGTGGTAGGGTGTTGCGGGGGAATGTTTAAGAGGAGGGAACGGAAGCGGATCCGGGGGTGGGTTGGAAGAAGGTGGGAAATGGAGAGGGAACCGGACCGGAAGTTGTCGTGGGGCGCGGGGGCGGGGACGGAGGAACGGACCGGAAATAGGGCGGCGGTGTGGGGGAACCAAAAGAAGGACGGACCAGATACCTCCTTCCTCTGTGAAGATGGCGGCCGCTAGCTGGAGGTGAGTGGATCCCAGCACCTGGACCGGACCGGGATTAGGCCTCACTCCGAGGCCAAGCCTGGCTCTTGGACTCTCTCTCTCTCTCTCTAGTTAGTATCCGGGGACCTCCACTACCCTCTCCTCTTGTCCTTCCCTGCTATTCGGCTGTGGAAGCCCTCATCATTTGAACATCATTCACAATTTACGCTCACAGCGAGCATTTGGAGCTCAACGCACGTTAAATTTCTGATTTTCTCCTCCTCCTCCTTCAAGCACGTACGCCAAACAGCGGTGTCTGAGGTCGTTAGAATCCCCTACAGTTTGGAAGCAGGCCTTTCAGCCCATCGAGTCTACACTGACCCCCCTCACCCCTCCCAAAGAGCAGCATGCCTTCCCCCTACCCTATCCCCACAGCCAATCCACCCTAACCTGCACATCTTTGGGCTGTGGGAGGAAACCCCACACAGACACAGGGAGAATGTGCAAACCCCACACGGATAGATGCCCGAGGGTGGAATCGAACCCGGGCCCTTGGCGCTGTGAGGCAGCAGTGGTTAAGCGCATAGCCACCGTGCTGCCGGTCTACTGCACTGGTATTCCCAGGCAGTCTTCTGTCCAAGTATAACCAGGTCTGAGTCTGTTTAGCTACCACAATCTAACGAGATCAGGTGTTTTCAGGCTAGTATTCCTCTCCTCATTTCGGGGGGCACCGTTGGTGTGGGTCTGTAGCCCAATGTAGATCAGATAGAGTTATGCAGCACGGATACAGACTGTTCAGTCCAACTCCTCCATGCCGACCAAATATCCTGAACTGATCTAGTCCCGTTTGGCCCATATCCCTCTAAACCCTTCCTATTTGTTGTAATTGTACCAGCCTCCACCACTTCCTCTGGCAGCTCATTCCAAACACGCACCACACACTCTGTGAAAAAGTTGCCCCTTGGGTCCTTTTTAGATCTTTCCCCTGTCACCTTAAACCTATGCCCCTCTGGTTTTGGACTGCCCCCCAACCCTGGGGAAAAGACCTTGACTGTTCACCCTATCCATGCCCCTCATGATTTTATAAGGTCACTTCTGTGCCTGCAGTGCTCCAGGGAAGATAACCTCAACATATTTAGCCTGTTCCTACAGCTCAAACCCTCCAACATCCTTGTGAATCTTTTCTGAACCCTTTCAAGTTTCACAACATCCTTCTTATAGCAAGGAGATCAGAAAATTGAATGCAGTATTCCAAAAGTGGCCTAACCAATGTCCTGTACGTCCGCAACATGACCTCCTCTAGCTGCTGACATTTCCTTTGGGTTAATGTTTGAGCACTGTCCCGCGGTCATGTCTGTGTCTCTCTCCTGCAGGTCATACTGTATTCCAAGCTGAAGGTGTTGGCAGGAGCCCGAGATGTCCCAGGCAACGAAGAGGAAACATGTGGTAAAGGAGGTGCTGGGAGATTATGATCCGCCCTCCGAGATACAACAGATTGTGCGGGTAAGGGCGTACTCGGGGACGAGTACAGCTGGGCCACACTGAGGGACCTTAATACCACTTTCACTGGGATACAGATCTCTGTCTCGAGTGCTCTCCTGCCCCCTCTCTCTCGCCCGCGCTCTCCACCCCCTCGCTTGCTCGCCCCCGCCCCCCCGCCCCCCCCCCCCCCCCCCTCGCTCGCTCGCGCGCAGGCGCTCTCTCTCCCCCCCTCGCTCGCTCGCGCCCTGCAGTTTGGGGTCCCACAGCCAAACATGCACAAATGCTCACTGGGCTACGTGTCCGTTACGCACGCACACACACGCCTATGGGCCCCATGGGTGTATCCACTAAGATTTGGACCATTCATGTAATTGACTGTGAGGAGGAGGTAGAACCTGTCTTGAAACTTACGGCCAGTCAAATGGACCTCACGCTGATCTTCAGTGTCTGGAATCCAGGCTGCTCACAGATCAACAGGCCATCCTGACCTTTATACTTGCTCGCAAACAAACTGAGTCACCTGACAGATTTCCTTATCCCCGCCCGGCCTTCTCCATGCCTAGGAATTACACATAAGTGCAGCCCCTCACCAGAAGGGGCTGGGACCTTACACATCTCCGATTACTGTGCCTAGTCAAACCTGACAGCTCCCTTTCTATGCGTCTCCCGTAATTTTACCACCCGTTTAGCTTCTGTTAATCATCTCCAGTCTTATCACATTAGGATCCCTCTGTGCAATCTTCTAGGGTTGATTTGATTTGATCAATAAAGTGGACAACATAACCGAGTTAAAGTTGAATCTTAAAGTGACCTTCCTAGCGTCAGCTGTAAGTTACGATCAGCTCAGAGATTTGCCACCTTCCTGCTCTTGGCCTGTCTCAATCTTGCCCCCTAATTTCTGACTCATGCTGGGGCCGGGGAGGCTTTCACAGACACTGGGTGCCCTCCCCCCTTTTCCATGTGATCGGGGCGAAGCGTTTCAGGGGGCTATTTGACTGCAGAAGTCATCGCGGCAAAACATGACGTCAAGCTGCGTGTTTCCAGCTGGTGACTTTTTCCCCAGATCTTCAGCGGAAGGTTGTCGGCAATTTCTTGACTGCCACCCCAGCTTATGGAGGCTGGGCTGTTCCACTGGGGCATGGGCGAAGGGGACAACATAATGACATAGTGTTCATATCACTGGACTGTTCATCCAGGGGCCTGGGGTAATGGTGCAAATCCCAGCTGGTGGAATGTAAATTCAGTGAAGGACATTAATGTTATGACATTGATTAACAATTCTGGAATATAAAATTAGTTTCAATAATTGGGAGACCATCACAGAGACATACAGCATGGAAACAGACCCTTCGGTCCAACCAGTCCGTGCCGACCATACTGCCTGCTCCCGGCCCATATCCCTCCAAACCGTTCCTATTCATGTGCTTATCCAAATGTCTTTTAAACATTGTAACTATACCCACATCCACCACTTCCTCATGGAGTTCATTCCACACACAAACCACCCTCTGTGTTTGAAAAAAAAATTGCCCCTCATGTCTTATTTAAATCTCTGTCCTGTCACCCTAAAAATGTGGCCCCTAATCCTGAAGTTCCCCCACCCTAGGGAAAAGACTGCTATCTCATCTGTACCCCTCATGCTTTTATAAACCTCTGTAAGGTCACCACTCAACCTCCTACACTCCAGTGAAAAAAGTTCCAGTCTTTCTTTATAACTCAAACCCTCCAGTCCCAGCAACATCCTGGTAAATCTCGTCTGAACCTTCTCCAGCTTAATAACGTCCTTTCTATAACTGGGCGACCAGAACTAGACAGTGCTCCAGAAGAGGCCTCACCAATACAACGTGAACATGATGTCCCAGCTCCTGTACTCAAAGGCGTGGACAATGAAAGCAAGTGTGCTAAACGCCTTCATAACCGCCCTGTCTATTGCCTTAAAAACTCATCTGGTTCACTAACGCTGACTTAGGGAGAGGAATCTGCCAGCCTTACCTGGTCTGGGACTTGGCACGTGACTCCAGACCCACATCAACATGGTTGACTCTTAGCTGCCCTCTGAAATGGCCCTGGTGATACATTCGTGCTCAAGGGCGCTCGGGGCAAGTAATCAACAACAGGCACGTCCCACAAAACTGCGTTTCTTTAGAAATCTGTACGGTCATCTCGCATTCCCAGTTGAGCAGCAGCGGATGTGTGTGTTTGTTTTTTTTTCTTTATTCATTCACGGAATGAGGGCGTTGCTGACTAGGCAGCATTTGTTGCCAATCCCTAATTGCCCAGAGGGCAGTTAAGAGTCAACCATGCTATGGGTCTGGAGTCACATGTAGGCCCCGACCAGGTAAGGTTGGCAGTTTCCTTCCCTAAAGGACATGAGTGAACCAGATGGGGTTTTTCCGACAGTCGGCAATGAACTGTTGACTACCCCTGAGCCTTTGGGATGGTGCTGGGGGTCGCGTGATGCAGCGAGAGTGAGAAACCACGTGGCTTGGATCGCCCTGAACCTTTAGCTGGAAGTTTTCACCTTGTGCCCGTCAGGACGCGCGCAAGAATTCCAAAATTTCAGACATGGCAGGACAGTTTCTAACACCGGAAGCGAGGGGCACCAGTTGATTGGCAAAGTGACCCTGATTGGCGGATCTGTTGCCGTGGAGATAGGAACAGGGAGCAGCTGGCTCCCCTGCGCTGTCGCGATGGTTTGGAATGTGGCATTCTTGCATTGGGTCCTGACGGCGCGCGGTCTCAGCAGCGCCTCTTCTGTCTGCCGTTGTGTGCCACGTGGTGCTGTCTGTTTGCCTGAGTGCCCTCTACAGGCTACTTGTCGGCTCGCCCCTACAGGTGCTCGGCTCGCCGGGGAACAACCTGCACGAGGTGGAGACGGCCCAGGGGGAGCGGTTCCTCGCCAGCATGCCCACCAAGTTTCGCAAGAACATCTGGATCAAGAGGGGTACGAGCGCATTGGTGTGGGGGGAGGGGGGGGGAGGTGGGGGAGGGGGGCGCTTGGTCAGGGTCCGGCTTAATGCGAGGCAAGGTCCCTTTGGAATGGGCAGTGTTAGTGTATTGGCTCTGGCCAGCCACTCAGTTTGGGGGCAATTAGGGAGGAGCGACAAATGCAGGCCCGGCCAGCAATGTGCATGTACTGTGCGAAAAATTCAGCAGAGGGGAATGAAAGATTTGGGGGGAGGATTGGGGTTTCCACTCGCGTCTTAGAGTCAGTGTTGGAACCTGGGAAGTTGGGGGTTACTGACTGGCTGTGTGTGTGTGTGTGTGTCGGGGGCGGGTGGTGGAGGCGATGATCTCTCTGTGAGATTATCTGTGTTCGGTCTCTCTTCCATCCCCCCACCCCGCTTTGTCAGGCGATTTCCTAATCGTGGACCCCATCCAGGAAGGTGAAAAGGTGAAAGCGGAAATTAACTCGATCCTGTACAAGGAACACATCAAGCAGCTCAGGAAGGACGGGCTCTGGTAGGACACTCGGCTTGAGTCGCGAGGCCAAGCAGTGACGGAAATCCAAAGGGTACTCGCGCGAGGGTGATGCCTGTTTGTGGGGATGTGGGTGGTACCTGGTAAGATCTTGGGGGATCTAGAGCCCTGGGCTCATGTTCGGGGAAGCTGGGTTCGAGTCAGGCCAAGCAGCTGGTGAAATCTTTCAAAGGTCCAGTGATGGTGCCTGGAATGTGGCTACTTTCTTATTGTAGAATAATAGTGTTTTACTAACAATTGAAGAAAATCTGCCCTCCTTGCCTGGTCTGGCTGTAATGAGAGTCCAATCCCAGCACTATGGGGTTGGCTCTTAACTGCCTCGTATCAATAATTCGAGAGCAATTAAGGTCGGCGCCGAGGGAGCGCGGCGCGGCCGGAGGGTCAGCGATGGGTAGCAGCAGATGTGTGTGTCTATGACTCTGATTGTCAGTTGGTGGAGCCCTGCCCCTGACCCATGTTCCTTCTGGTCCTAACCCTGCAGGCCTGCCACTTTCTGTGACCCAGCGACAGAGTGCCCCGAGAGGTGAGTGTCTGGTTTCAATCCACGCCATCAGGGGCTGAATCCCAAGGGATCTCCTCTGTCCCTTCACAAAGCTGCACCTCTGTGTGTTTGTTTGTCTGTCTGCCTGTGCTGTGGGAGTGAGGGCACATTGCTAAATGTGATAAACTTCAGCGCACTGACTTGGCACAGGCTGGTGAAAGAGACTCTCTTTCCCTGACCTGTGTGCGTGCTGGTGTGTTTGTGGAGCTCAGCAGACAATGAACACTCGTTTCCCCTTGTCTCAGCTCCTCTGCTGCCGATAGCCTCAGCCCTGCATTTGTTCCCTCCAGAATGAACGATTCTGACACACTCCTGACTGGTCGCCCCCTTCCTATTGTTCAAAACCCTGCTGCCAGCATTTTAATGGGACTGAGTCACATCCATCTCTCACCATATTACTGACCTGCATTGACCCTCTGGTTGGGAGATCACCCAGTCTTCAAAATTCCCACCTTTATCTCCAAACCCGGTGTACTCTCATCCACTCTACCTCTGTATCGCCTCCAGCTTCTACACTGCTCGCTATCTTTCTCACCTCCTCCAGCCCCTACACCCCTCCCTATCTCTGGTGATATAACCCCAACTAATGCTGATACTGAGCCCAGACCTGGCTTGATAGACTGAGTTCTGTTTTGCTATTTGTTTGCTTACGAGGTTAAGTCACTGAATATAATCACAAGAAGCTGCCAGTATAATTCTAACAAATAACCTAAGTTTATTCCCCTTGAAAGGAAAGAAAGAAAATGATTAATATACAATAACTACTTGACAGTCATTAAAAATATCAGAAATTGTTTCCACCCTTTTAGCCTCAGCAATAACCTTACAGATACCCAAACTTCAGTGAATGCTCACCCTGTCTCCACTGTTAAAGTTCTTTATTCAGTTAGCACAACTGTAATCAATTTTTTTGTCTGCCCTTTCTGCATTCGCTTGATGCTATCTTTCAATTAATGTCTCCTTCTGAGATGCTTACATTGCTAACAAAGCTCACCCAGTCCTTAACTTGGGTTCCCGAAACTCCACTTCCACGGCCTTCTGTTTTTGAATCTTTTCTTCAACCACGACTGTGTTGGAGATGGCTAAACTGTGTGAATTATTTACTTCTGTGTCAATGAGTCCTGCACACCACCTTTTCCCGATGAACAGTTTTCTGTCTGTTGTTAGTGGACACATGACAGCAACCCAGTTTTCTCTTCATGTTTCTAATGCGCTGAACTATAACGAAAGGGGTTTAAATACCTCATTTCATTACACAACCCAACTCTACTTCCAGAACTCAAACATTTAAACTAAAACCATTTCCCTCTCTCCATTATACAAATCAATCTTAAAACTGTAGCACGTTCTGCCACTTTGGAGCCCTTTCCAAATGAGCCCCCTTCACACTGTAACCCTGACAACCCCTCCCTGTCTCTGTCACTTCCTCTTGCGCCTACACCCCTATCTCTGTGATTTTTCTCCAACCCTTGCACCTTTCCCTATCTTTATAACCCCGAACTCTGGAATTCCTTCCCTAAGCCCCTCCGCCCCGCTCTCCTTAAAGTTGATATTGACCCTTCTTGGTGCCCTCTCCCTTCCAGCTCTTGCTCGGTGGCCTACTTGGTTCTAGAATATACTTGTGATGTGCCCCCGGGGTGATATTTCATTGCATGACAGGCTTCAGGTAAAGGAAGCTGCATTCTCTCTCCCTCTCCAGTAACACAAAGAAAGATGGAAGTAACCGGGGCTCGGAGGAAGAGTCGGGGGATGATTCGGAAGACGACAGCGACTTGTTTGTCAACACAAACCGAAGGAATTACGAGTATTCGGAGAGCGAGGACGAAGAGGAAGACGAGGAGGAGCAGGGAGTTTAGAGGACAGGACAGCAGCAAATGCTTGCTTTAATAACTGCAGGCAAACCGTTGATCGTTTTTTTTTTTCCTCAAAGACTGCAGAAGGGGCAAGTGCTTCATCTGGGGTTGTGGGGGGGGAGGAGGAGAGACATCCTTTCAGCGTCTTACCCTCTCTCCCACTGCCTTGCAGCATGTTCCCCTGCGGGTATCCATTTGAATCCTGCACCAGGCTGGCTGTGTCATTAATACATCTTCTGGCAGCTCCACCAATGACCTCCGCCAGCCAGTCCATCCCTGTTCACCTTCTTCTCTCACCACCCCCCCCAATCAAATTGACTGAGGAGCTTTGGAGGCTGATGACAACCAGTTGATTGTGGGATAGGAGGGTAGATTTTGTTTGTTTGTGTGCGCACACGCCACAGTCGACCAGCTCAAGGCTTTATCTTCCTGTCACTTATGGAGCGATGCACTGAGAAGGGCAGAGTCTTACATTCTGGAGAGAATACCATTTGTACTTAAAATAAATAAATATTGCTGAGAAATGAATGTTTTGTGCTGATGTGGAGTACCATTCCACTGCATCAACAGAGCTAGCCAGAAGAAATGCAAATGGCATGTGGGCATGGCTGGCTGTGCTCAGCATTTCTTGCCCATCCCTAGTTGCCCTTGAAGGTGGTGGTGAGCGGCCTTCTTGAACCACTGCAGTAACGGTGATATTTCCAAATAGTGACTTGGAAGGGAACTTGTAGAGGGTGGTGTTCCCATGTATCTGCTGCCCTTGTCCTTCTCGATGGAAGTGATTTTGGAAGGTGCTGTCTGAGGATCTTTGGTGAATTTCAAACACCGTCCCACCCAGTTCTTTCTTTTTCTCTGCGTGAGGTTTTGGCTTAAACATAGCTTCCAGAGGTATCTTTTACCATTTCAATAGAAGCAGGAATTTGTTGGAAAAGCCGCAGCAGTTCTGCTAGCACCTGTGGAAGAAAATCAGAGTTAACGTTGTGGGTCAATGATTTCTCTCCACAGATGCTACCAGACCTGCTGTGGCTTTTCCAGCAAATTCTGCTTGTGTTTCATCGAGATCAGAGTCACACCCAGACTAGAGTCAAATTCTACAGCTTCTGCCACACTCTGCTACGTGACACAGTCAAGAAAAAGAAAAGTGTTTTTTTATTAAATGTACAGCAGGAAAGCTCCAGACAGTAAATAAAACAGCAAAATCTAGCCAGTGACCAAATCTCTCCATTTCATTCCCCTCCCATAAAATAAACCCCATCCCCTACATCGGTGCCAAAGTCCGGTCCTTGGGTCAACGAGTCTCATTTCGTTATCGTGTTTCTGTAAGAGAAAGCAAAGCGTCAGAATCTCAGCAAACACCCCATCCCCACATAATACGCAGCCGCAGACCATACAGCCCCTCACCACTGATACTCAGCTTCAACTTCATTTCCTCAATCCCCCCAAGAGACCAAAGACCTAATCCCAGCCTTAAATGTATTCAATGAAGAAGCATTCATTCAGAGACCTGGGGGTGAGGGAGATATTTACCTCGTCTCAGTCCTCAATGATACCCCACGCCCCATGTTTAAATAACACCACCCCCTCCCCCCCCCCAAACCGGGGAAACAATCTCTCAGTTTCTACCCCTGTCCAAGGCCCTTCAGAATCCTGTCTGCCTCAACACGACCACCTCCTGTTCTCCTAAACTTCAGAATATCTAGGCAACTGGGGAGGTGATGGCCTAGTGGTATTAATTGCTGGACTGTTAATCCAGAGACCCAGCTAATGTTCTGGGGATCTGGCTTCAAATCTTGCCATGGCAATATGGTGGAATTTGAATTCAGAATCAAATAATAACCGTGAATCCATTGCCGATTGTCAGAAAATCCCATCCGGTTCACTAATGCCCTTTAGGGAAGGAAACTGCCATCCTTACCTGGTCTGGGCCTACATGTGACTTCAGACCCACAGAAATGTGGTTGACTCTTAGCTGCCCTCTGGGCAATTAGGGACAGGGCAATAAATGCTGGCCTAGCCAGTGGCACCCACATCCCATTAACGAATTTTAAAAAATTGACTCAGCCTCCCCCAGGGACCAGTTGAGTAAACACTCCAATGCCCCTGTATCCTTCCTTAAAATAGAATTATTTCAGAATCAGAACAATCACAGCAATAGCCCTCCGTTGCCCCAGGCCTGGCTCACGTACACATTCATGCTCTTGCCACTCCCGCTGAGGACAATGTAAGGTGTTTTCTGTGCTTTCTGCTTCTCCTGCAGGAGGGCCACGGTTCCCAACGGCGTATCGCTCGAACTCATTTTTCTCAGCAGCTGAAACAAGCACAACACAAGAGGTGAACACAAGGCAAAGACACACGGGCAGGCAGGTTCCACTGGGCCTTTTGCGGCACAAGGAAAGGTCCTTTGGCCCGTCATCCACTTATCTGTCCATTCTAACCCCATTCCCCATCATTTGCTGTGGTGCTTCAAAAGCTCACCTAAGTATTAAATGCCTTGAGGGTTCATGCCTCTACCACCTCTTCAGGCAGCGAGGTCCAGATCTCCACCACCCTCTGTGTGAAACACACTTCTTCAAAGCCTCCTGCTCCTTACCTTAAAGCCATGTCCCTGCTCACTGATCCCTCTACTAAAGGGGAAATGTTTCTCCCCATTTACCTGTATTTATCACCCTCATAACTTTGGGACCTCACTCAGCTTTCTCTTTAAAGGAGAAGGACTCAAGCCTATGCAGTCTCACTCCATAGCTGAAATGCTCCAGCCCAGGTAACATCCTGGTGGATCACCTCCTAGCCCTCTGCTGTGCGATCCCGTCCCCTGAAAAGGAGCAGGGCTGGTGGGAGGAATCACTGATTGGTGATGCTCAGTCATACAAGCATACTCCCTACCCCAAAAAAAAAGGTATCTGACAGGATCAGCAGTGATGTGCGCAGCTTGGGTCCAAACAGTGAAGGACGGGCACTCGGTGAGAGGGGAGGGGCAGGGAGAGACTTTCAAACTCACATGCTCCTCTTCCAGTTTCTTCATGCGTTTTTCTGTCTTCATTTTGCCCGACCCTTTTCCGTGGAACCGGTGGGACAATTGTCTGAACGCCTGTTTTTAGACAAAATGTTTTTAAACTCCAAGGTGCACACGGAAACAGTGTCTACATTTCCACCACCAGCCCACCTCCAACCCCCCAACAAACCATCCACCAAATAATGTAACACCTCTAAGGTTCTGGAGTAGATTTGTAGCTTGGATTGTGAATGTTGTGGTTGGTTGGCTGGATGACCTCACTTCTGGTTTTCCTTCCCAGTGGAGGATACATGGGGTCAAGCTCTATGTGTCTCTGCAGAGACAGGCACGGGAGTTCCTAGAAGCCTGGTACTCCACAAAGAAAGCCAACAAACACATCGAGCTCAACCCCATATACACTCCACTGCGAAGGAAAGCCGGAAGAAGTGAGGTAATCCAGCTCAACGGACTCCACAGTTTAAAAACCAGGCCGGAAAACACAACAGCGCTTTATCAGAGGCTGCACTGATGATGTTACCCAGCAGGGTAATGAAACGTCTGCAGAAAACCAACGAACCAGCTCAGCGAGCCAACCAACCACAATGTAACACCTCCCTACCATCCCAGTCCAAGCAGCTCCATTTGCTCAGCCTCTCCTTCAGCAGTTACTCCCTTCACCACTAACATACAGCAACAGCAGTGTGTACCATCGACAAGAAGCACTGCAGCAATTCAAAAGCTCCTCTGGCAGCACCCACCAGAAGAACAAGGGCAGCAGATACATAGGAACACCACCCCCTGCAACTGATACAGAAATAGCCATTTCATCAGTGCCACTGGATCAAAATCCTGGAGCTCCCCAACAGTGGGGGTGTGGATAAGAAGGCGTTTAGCATGCTTGCCTTCATTACTCACTCCTTCGAGTAAAAGGAGTTGCAATGTTGCGTTGAGGTTTGTACAGGACGTTGGTGAGGCCTTTTCTGGAGTACTGTGCACAGTTCTGGTCTCCCTGTTATAGGGAGGGTATGGAGAGGGCTCAGAAAAGATTTACCAGGATGTTGCTGGGAATGGACAGCGAGATATAAAACAAACCAGGACTTCTTTCACTGGGGAACGTAGGAGGTTGAGGGGTGACCTTATAGAGGTTTACATAACCATGATATTTGCTGGGGGCAGCACTGGCAGGAACGGGTTACATTACTTTACACCAACAGAAGAAGGATGAGGTGTAATTGCTGAAGGCTCAAAAATCGACAAAACTCTGAGAGGGAGCTTAATAAAACCAGGGTTTATGTCAAAGCCAGGCGTGTGTTTCTACAGAGACTTACTACCACCTCAGGACGTTCCAACTGAGGAAGTACTTTCGAAGTGTAGTTAGCGGGGCAGTGGATTTGCACGCGTGCGCACACACACACACACACACACACACAAACAGCAAGGAGAATGTGCAGACAATTTATATTCAGTGATGCAACTACGGCCAGGGGATTTTAATTGGGGGTGGTCATGAATTTAGACAGTATTGCGCTCTCCGTGCTGACAGTGGCCTGGAGTGGGTTGTGGGACCACGACATCCACCCTACCTCTTTCGGGGTCAGTCTCCTTCCAGATTCATCCACGTAATCTATCTTCACATCAGGCCGGTAAGCTTCCTTCTCCTTAAACTCCTGCGTGAAGCCGCGATATTCCTCTCTCCGACTATACTTGTCATCTATCAACCTGGATCATTGCAGCACAATCAAACACACTAACTGGTTCGGTCTGACCACAAGAATGTACAGGTTGAAAGTAAACAATGGCGTCAGCCCAAAATATTTAGAATTAACCATGTAGCACACAGGAGGCGGTGATGGGGTTGTTCGCAAGGGGTAAGACGAATACAATCCTGGATTTCTCCTTACCACGCAATACAACAGCAGGTCAAATGGGAACACTGCAGTGAGTAACTCACCTCCTGACTCTCCAGAGCCTGTCCACTGTCTATAAAGGCACAAGTCAAAAGGTGCAATGGAATATTTGTTCCACTTGCCCCTGGATGAGGGCAGCTCCAACACCACTCAAGAAGCTCGACACTATCCAGGACAAAGCAGCCCACTTGATTGACACCCCATCCATCAATGCTAACATTTACTCCCTCCACCACCGACGCTCAATCACAGCAGTGTGTACTGTCTACAAGATGCACTGCAGAAATTCACCCAGGCTCCTTACACAACGCCATCCAAAATGGGGACCATTACCACCCAGAAGGTCAAGGGCAGCAGATACATGGGGACACCCATTACCTGAAAGCTCCCCTCCAAGTCACCACCCTGACTTGTTGTTGCTTCGTTAGGTCTAAATCCTGGATTGCCAGGAACTGCACTATGGGTGTCCACATAACTCCAAGGTCGACAGCAGTGCAAGGCTGCGGCTCACGACCACCTTCTCAATTAGGGAACGGCAATAAACGCTGGGCCCAGCCAGCCATGTTTTTTAAGGTTTGGGCCTGTCTCACCCTGTTCCATGCCACCACCCCATCAACCAGCTGCTTACA